TTAAATCGGTGCTTCTTCCAAACTCTCATCAACGAATCTCTAAGTATAATAAATTCAAATGACTCTTAATCCTTATCTCTCCAAAACTCCCAAAAGTTCAGATGGGAACTACAAATCTTTATGGAAGATACCAGCTTAGATCACATTCATTTTTTGACTTGGGTTTGGTCTTAGATGCTAGGCAACCATTATCATTCAAGAAATGGAAGATGAGTTCTACTAAATTGTCTCCCTTTTGTTCCTAGAAGCTCTAAGAACTGTTTCCATATTCTAGCCTTAACTAGATACAGATACAGTGTCAGCACTCCAAGCTATATTCACTCCAATGCTGACATAAGGAAGAGAAGAGGACGCTTGACTCTTCACCTACTTATTTTCCCTGAAGATATTATCCCCTAGGAGATGGGAGGGGAGGGGAGACATTCCTGTGAGCTGAAGTAGTAGATATGGGGAGAGTGACTTGGAAGATGGCCAATGAGACGCAGAGAATTGGGGAACGGAAAGGGAGAGTTTGGGGTCAGAAGGTCAGTGCTGACTATGATGGACTCGGGGACAGATTGTTGTGCTCAATAAATGAAAGATTTCATCAAAGACTATTTGTTTGGAAATGCAATTTATTTGAGACGACATTGTAACCTGACATACAGATTAACAGAATTGGAAGGGACTTTGTAGGTCATCTAATCCAACCCCCACCCCAGCCCAAGCAGACCCTACACCATTTCAAAGCTTTCAGTGATGAAGCTCCCACAACTTCTGAAGGCAACTTCTGTTCCATGGGTTGATTGTTCTCACTGTCAGACTACAAGAGGCTCAACGTAATGCTTGCAGTTCTTACCATGTTAATCCATCATAGAAGAGGCCCCAGGCATCAATACTGCTTCTTTCATATTGGGAGAGAAGTATAGTTCGGATTGGGGTTGTTGTTTTTTTTTGTTTCAGTATTATTAGATGTGTGGACTTCTACTTATTCCATTGATTTGCTGAGTGCTAATGGTTAGGATGTCAGCAGAGAGCAGAAGTAATATTGATTACTCCTTGCTGGCCCAAGAGACCTTGGTTCACAGATCTGATTAACTGATAATGTCATAGAAAAGGTGTAGTTCCACAGTTATTGGATTTTCTGTTCCAGGAATAGTTTTCAACATCTGAATCCCAGATGGTTATTATTTCACACCTTGAGATCGTGTAGGGGCAACCACCTAACCAGAATTATTATAAAATCTTTGCTCAAACTATACTTATCATCTTGCAAGGATTCATAGCCCATGGTTATTTGGTAATTCTATTTATTTATTTATTTATTTATTTATTTATTTATTTATTTATTTATTTATTTATTTATTAAATTTATATGCCACCCTATCTCCAAGGACTCAGGGTGGCTCACAACAATAAAACAATGCTTAACGCATTGTAAGCCGCCCTGAGTCTCCGGAGAAGGGCGGCATATAAATCAAATTAAAAAAAAAAAAGTCCCTTCCAACTCTGTTATTCCTTTATTCTGTTAAAATGCAATCTGCTGTAAAATAAAATAGATTTCCATGTTACAATAAATCCAGTGCTCCATTTTTACACGTTGGCTAAACGTTGAGGATGAGAATAACTGAAGTTTAGAAATCACCACCCCTACCACGTGAATCATAAAGTTCATATGTGTAATCTTGTCATAAGTCTGGAGACTCAGTCTGGGTTTTGCGTACTAGTATCTATGTGTATGTACAAAACGAGCGCCTAAATTACCAATGCAAAAACCTGCTTTGAGATGTCTCCCCTCTAGGGAATATTCGGGAGTGGAGCTAACAAGATTAGATGTGCATAGCTAAGCTCCACCATTTAGGCTACTTTGAGAGCTTCAGAGAAAACGCATTCAGTTGGGAGTTGGAACACCACACTTAACAAGTGTTTGTGATGGAATGTTGTTGGGATTCCCAGGAGGGAGGCAGTCCATTTCAGAGTAGCAAAAGACAGTGTAGCTTTTATAGTTTGTGTGGGAGAAAAAGGGTGAAGATGGCTCCTCTCTAACAGTTCCACAGTTTATGTGTTTTATGGTGCAAGTAGTTGGCTTTAATTTGGCAAGATTCCTGTCTATGGGTGAGGAAGAGTAGAGAAAAACTGTCTCAACGTGTCTTTCTTAATTTTTGGAGCCTAGCAGTGTTCCACAAAGGGAACACAAACGTAGCATTTTGGAAGGCACGGGCCTGTTGGATCACCCAGACGAGTTTGCAAAAGTGTTGTTCACAAATGTACAGGCAATTTTTGACATAAGTTTAGTTTAGTTTACTTTATTGTCATTGCACATCGTATAATGAAATTAGAGCCTTGGTGGCGCAGCAGACTAAAGTGCTGTTAACTAGCACCAGCTGCCTGCAATTACTGCAAGTTCAAATCTCACCAGGTTCAAGGTTGACTCAGCCTTCCATCCTTTCGAGGTAGGTAAAACGAGGACCCGGATTGTGGGGGCAATAAGCTGACTTTGTATTAAAAAAAAGAACGCCGCTTTGGTGGGGGGGGCAAAAGCTCTACTAAGCAGGGATATACAAAAAGTATGAAGACTATTGCTTAACACATTGTAAGCCGCCCTGAGTCTCCGGAGAAAGGCGGCATATAAATCGAACAAACAAACAAACAAACAAACAAATGCATGCCATCTTCAGTGTACATTATAACTATAAAAATCAAAACACAAAACACATCCTTCACATTCTATATCATTGAAAAGCCTATATTGCATTAATATTGCACTATACCGTAGAATTCAATATGGTTATTGCTCTGGGATAGAAGCTGTTTTTCAGCCTATTTGTCCTTGTTTTTATTATCCTGTACCGTCTGCCAGATGGTAATAGTTCAAAAAAAGGGTGCCCAGGATGAGATGGATCTTTAAGGATGTTTTGAACTTTCTTAAGGCAGAGGGAGCTGTAAAGCTCTTCCAAAGAGTGGAGAAGGCAACTATTGATCCTCTGGGCAATGACGTTGACCCTCTGGAGTGCTGTCCTATCCACCACTGTGAAATTGGCAAATTTGTTTAGCGTCTGTTCAAAGTTACAATGGCACTGAAAAAAGTAATTTCTGGCCGTATTTCGCACAACTGTTGGAGCATCCCCATGGTCATGTAATCAAAATTCAGGTGCTTGACAGCTGATTCATATTTGCGACGATTGCAGGGTCCCAGGTCAGTGACCCCCCTTTTGTGACCTTCTGACAAGCAAAATCAATGGGGAAGCCAGATTCACTTAATAACCGTGTGACTAACTTCACAACTGCAGTGATTCACTTAACAACCCTGGCAACGAATGTCGTAAAATGGGGCAAAACTCACAAAAAATGTCTCGCTTAGCAACAGAAATTTTGGGCTCAATTGTGATCATAATTCGAGGACCATTTGTATTTGAAAATAGCAAATTGTAAAAATAAAAGTACAAATGGCTCACCACATGAATATGTGGAATATGATATCTTGGAATATGACATCAGGAGTCTGGAAGATGGTGAGATAAGATAGCAAGGGCTCCACCTTTTGCTTCTTGTCATCATCTACATTTTTAGCTCCAGAGTTAGTTTCCAAACTAAATAGGAAGAGAAGGTTGTTTAAATAATCTTAAAAATCATCATCATTAAAATATTCAAATGGAAAGGAGTAGTAATGTCCACGATAAAGTATAAAAATATTCAAATAGCAATGAGTTACTGGGGAAAAAAGATAGGAGAAAGAGAAAGAAAGAGAGGAAATACTTTATAATTTTGTTTTTAAAATGTGCATTATTTTTATTTGCTTTTTTCATTCCCCCCTGCCAAATCTGTTAAATATGCACATGCATTTTTGCTTTTCATTTTGCTGTTTCTTTTTGCACATTTTACTGAATCAATAGATTTTTTTTAGATTATATCCTTTTGGACAAGAGATAGTATTTCAGAAATGACCTTGTTGCATTGAGGTTGTGGGAGATGCAATGAAATTAATACTGTATTTGAATATATTGTACCATTTGAATAAGAAGCAATTACATGGATTAGCTCAACTTTGAGATTTAATGTTTTCAGAGGTTTATATTCTTTTGAAGTTGATCTCCATCACATGGGAGTTGACATGAGGACAAAAAAAAAAAGACTTTCAGGAAAAAATGTTAATATTCAGTATAAGGAAGACAAATATGTGGCTCTCATTATTCAGTGGTTTGCAGAATTAATTTATATAGATCAGCTATAGACCACTGTAATGAATCATGACTCATTATATGGTGCTGATATATGTGTGTCTGTGAATATATATCCATATCTTTTTGATTCCTACTTTATTTTTATTTTATTTTAGTGTTTTTATCTTTCCTTTATTTTTATAAATAACTCAAGGTGATGAATAATCCTAATTCTCCTTTATTTTCCTCACAACAACTCTGTGAGATCACCCAGATTTTTGTGCCTAAGGCAGGACTAGAACTCCCAGTCTCCTGTGATTGACCCAAAGTTACCCAGTTGGCTTTCATGCCTAAAACAGAACTAGAACTCCCAGTCTCCTGGTGATTGGCCCAAAGTCACCCAGCTGGCTTTCACGACTAAGACAGAACTAGAACTCCCAGTCTCCTGGTGATTGGCCCACAGTCACCCAGTCAACTTTCATGCCTAAAGCAGAACTAGAACTCATAGTATACTCATGATTGGTCCAAAATCACCCAGCCAGCTTTCATGCCTAAAGCTGGACTAGAACTCACAGTCTCCTGGTTTCTACCTAGTGCCTTAACCACTAGACCAAACTGGCTCCACTTTAGCCTTTTTTATATATATATAATTGTATGTGTTCTTTTTCTTTGTTCTTTTCTTATATTGAGCTTATTTAAAATCAACACAATTCTAGAACATGGACGGAGAAGGGTATGTGGTCCATACCTATAACCACAGGGGGCATGAATCATGCTATGTGAAAATTTTAAAAACACACATCCTGAACTGTCCTTTTTGCGTTCTAACCATGTTCGGGTTTTTTTTCCAATTTGTTGCAGAGCTGGAATTCTGTGACTCTTCCCACATGTTGTGTGCTGGCTACCAGGGGGACCTGCATACAGTTTCTCAGCACGGCTATCCTATCGAGATGGGGTCGGATATGGATACCGAGACGGAAGGAGGTGCTTCACCAGATCAGGCCTTGAGGATGTGGATGTCGGGCATGAAATCCGAACACAGCTCCTGTTTATCAAGCCGTGCGAACTCAGCCTTGTCGCTCACCGATACCGATCACGAAAGGAAGTCTGACGGAGAGAACGGTAAAGAAGTAACCTTGGCAATCAATTTTAAGAGATCCAGATTTATTTCACTTTCCTTGCTTTCCCTTTCAGTATCCGAGTCCATAGACTTCTCCCAGCCATGGTTTCCTTTAATCTCAGTATGTTGAATAAACCATAGTTACTTGGCTTTATGCAGTGCACTAATCTTCAAACCGTGCTTTATAATTCATAGTGGCGCAGTGGTTAGAGTGCAGTACTGCAGGCTACTTCTGCTGACTGCCGGCTGCCAGCACTTTGGCAGTTCGAATCTCACCAGGTTCAAGGTTGACTCAGCCTTCCATCCTCCCGAGGTCGGTAAAATGAGGACCCAGATTGTTGGGGGGAAGAGGCTGACTCTGTAAACTGCTTAGAGAGGCCTGTAAAGGACTGTGGTATATAAGTCTAAATGCTATTTCGATAGTAGTTGTATCTCTACATGGCATTAATCATAAACAAACTGTAGCTTAGAGCAGAATTCTCCAAAGTGGTCAATACTGACCTCCTAAGGGTCAGTCAATGCTGTTACTCATAGCATCACAGGTAGTCCTCAACTTACAACAGTTCATTTAGTGACTGTTCAAAGTTACAACATCACTGAAAAAAGTGACTTATGACTGTTTTTCATACTTACAACCATTAGAGCATCCCCATGGTCACATCATCAAAATTCAGATGCTTGGCAACTGATTCATATTTATGACGGTTGCAATGTCCTGGGCAGGGCCTTCTTAAGAGCATTATGGGCCCCAGGCGAAGCAGTGTACTGGGGCCCCTATGAGAACTACTCACAGGAATAAAAATGTAAATGGTCGATAAAATTAAACATATATTTGCATGTTAGTATTAATTTTTTTTATTATTAATTTTTTTTAATTTGATTTATATACCGCCCTTCTCCGGAGACTCAGGACAGCTTACAGTGTGTTAAGCAATAGCCTTCATACTTTTGTATATTTTATACAAAGTCAGCTTATTGCCCCCACAAACTGGGTCCTCATTTCACCTACCTTAGAAAGGATGGAAGGCTGAGTCAACCTTGAGCCTTGGAGAGATTCGAACCAGCAGAAATTGCAGGCAGCTGTGTTAATAACAGGGTGCGTAGACCACTGTACTATCAAGGCTCTGCATTAAAAAAATGCAGTAAGATGTAATAAATACGTTGCTGTATTTATATGACACAAGGTGCATTGAAGGGTTAACAAACACAGATTAATATGGGCCCCCTATGCTTGTGGGGCCCATGGGCAAGTGCCCATCAGGCCCATGCGTTAAAACAGCCATGGTCCTGGGGTCATGTGATCCCCTTTTGCAACCTTCTGACAAAGAAAATAAATGGGGAATCTGGATTCATTTGACAACCGTGGTACTAATTTAACCATGGCAGTGATTCACTTAACAACTGTGGCGAGAAAGGTCATAAAATGGGGCAAAACTCACTTAGCAAATGTTTCACTTAGGAACAGAAATTTTGGGCTCAGTTGCGGCCATAGGTCGAAGACTTATCTGTATTAGTGAAAATATTAATTTATTAGCTGCACTCATCAGCCCCGCTTGCACTCGTCTCATAAGTCCTTCTTCAAAGATCTGGAAGGTCTTGAAATCAGTGGTAAAATCCTCCGAGGTTTGCCACTTGTTTGCTGAGCGCGCTCATGGACATTGAACACCAAACACACGTTGCGCATGGGTGCATGCACAGTGCACACCAAATGCACGCTTCACACGGAAAAAGGAGGCTTATGAAGGTAAGTAGAACAGCGTGGGGGGGGAATAGCTGTGCCGCGCAATTTAGATTTGCTAGAAAGCAGGATTTCCTGCTTTCTAGCAAATATAAATCATGTGGCACAGCTGATCATTGGAAATACCAATTTGGACGAACCGGTAGCATTTTTTAAAGGACCGGTTTGCCCGAACCGGTGCAAACTGGTAGCATTTCACCCCTGCTTGAAATCATGCCTTGGCCCCGTCTTCTTGGTCAGGCAAAAGTGGGTGCAGCTTGGGCAGAGAAATCAGTCTTTGTGTTGTGTCTTTGTACTGCCAAACCTTTGCAGTAAAAGAGGAAATGGTTTGCCTTCTCAATCCCTTTTCCTTTCCAGTTCTCTTTTTTGAAAACAAAGTAGGCAGAAAGGGTCAATTAACTGGGTTTTCCCTGTAGCATTGCTAGCTTGGTAGAGTTAGGTTAAGCTCGCACACAATTGGGTTGACTTTGGGCTGTTAAATTATCCGGGAGGTTAATTGACTGGATTAATTCTTGTTATTTTCACAACACATTAATATACACACTCCATTAACCCAGTTAAGTGTTCTGTGGGAACCAGGCCTGTGCTCCTCTCGCTTTTCCTCATGCTTGCACACAATCAGTGTTTGAGGAAGAAGGGATGCTATAAACTTGAAACCAACATGCCTGAGAAAAAAGATGAAGGCTCAAGGGAATAGAGTCTGCGAGAGCGCAGAACATTCTAAGCGCAGTGGTGGCAAAAGAAAAGAAAAGAAACAGAAGATACCATTCTGCACGTAGATGTTTATTTCCAAAGCACAAGGTGTCAACCCCACCACAAGATCACCTCTACAGGGAGGCTAAAACTATATTTATTGAGATTGGCTGCAATAACAGAATCTTGCGGGTCTGATTGTGTTGTTCCTCCTCCTTCCTATTCTCCAGGGAATTAGTAACACATCTGCCTAAGCAACTTCTGAATAGTATTGTTCCTGACTGAAATGTATATGTATATCTATTTACTGTATATCTATATATCTAATCTATATCTACCTATCTATACCATCTATGTATCTATGTATCTATATCTATATATTTCAAGCCCTTTTACCAATATTAATAGTTCATGCCTATTAGCATCAAGGTTATTTTCCTTAATGTCTACAGTTGGCGACTGAGAATGGATCAGATGAGAATGGATGAGATTATTGGGGACTAAAAAGGGTTTTAAAAGGCATTGGAAAGAATAAGATGACAATTACTTGTGCCCTGGTGGTGCAGTAGTTAGAATGCAGTATTGCAGGCCAGTGATGGGTTTCAAATTTTTTTACTACCGGTTCTGTAGGTGTGGCTTGGTGGGCATGGCAGGGGAAGGATTCTGCAAAATCCCCATTCCCACCCCACTCCAGGGGAAGGATACTGCAAAATCCCTATTTCCTCCCAATCAGCTGGGACTTGGGAGGCAGAGAATAGATGGGGGCGGGGATAGTCAGAATTTTTACTACCGGTTCTCTGAACTACTCAAAATTTCCACTACCGGTTCTCCAGAACTGGTCAGAACCTGCTGAAACCCACCTCTGTTGCAGGCCCTCTCTGACCACAGCCTGGAGTTTGATACTGATGGCAGTTCGCATGTCACCAGGCTCAAGGTTGGCTCAGCCTTCTATCCTTCCGAGGTCAGTAAAATGAGGACCCAGATTGTTGGGGGCAATAGGCTGACAGTGTAAACAGCTTAAAGAGGCACTGCGAACCAATATATTAAGTCTAAGTGCTGTTGCTATTTTTTCTTCTTTTCTGTCTTTTTTCTTATATTCCTTTTCTTTTTTAAATACTTTTACTGTATTGCAAAATTCTAGTAAAATATTTAAGAGGGAGAGAGAAAATTAGATCATTTGGGAAATGAGAGGAATAGAAGGCAGATAGATAATCTTTTCCACAACTACTGTTTTCTCCTCGTAAGTGGCCACAATGATAACTTTCTTTTTACTGGTGAGGAAATGCCCAACCATTACTAGGAAGGCTACACCAACCTCTGTTTACCTACTGAATTCCCCCCTGCAAACTTTCTTCCTCCCCATATTAACGTTTCAAATAAAACGCTGGTAGAAAAATGTATATTGCCTTTGCAAACAACTGTTCCATTCTTAGAGAGAAGATGACATAAATAGGGATATAAAGAAAGGGTCTGGGGATGAATTGAAAACTTTTCAAAGAAAAATAATACACAACTTTAATAGCTTTTGCCATCCCTTAACTTCATTATTGTCCGAGGAGAGCTTTCAAAATTTAACTAGTACTGTATATAGTCAAATGCTTTGGAACTCTATATTTTGATGAATAGTTGAATAGCAATAGCACTTAGACTTATATACCGCTTCACAGTGCTTTTACAGCCCTCTTTAAGCGGTTTGCAGAGTCAGCCTCTTGCCCCCAACAATCTGGGTCTTCATTTTACCGACCTTGGAAGGATGGAAGGCTGAGTCAACCTTGAACTGGTGAGAATGGAACTGCTGGCAGCCAGCAGTCAGCAGAATTAGCCTGCAGTATTGCACTCTAACCACTGTGCCACCATGACTCTTATTGGGATCCTATTGGGATAGTTTTAATGCGTAAGTGTAGGCTTCTCCAATGGATTTTGTTTCTTGTTTCTTCCCCCTGTTTACTGTCACAACTGTGAGAAGGATATCCATACAAACTGTTTTAAAAATGAAGAAATGATTTGTTTCTGTTAGACATGCTGAACTTCGCAAATGGTAATATGGGGAAAAGCAAGGAAGCTAATTTAATGCAAAATAATAGAAAAAAAGTTTTGGATGAATTGTTATTTACAGCATTAATGGAGAAATGGTCCACGTTTGTTCCTTGTCAGTTTCACCTTTTCCCCCATTTTTTGGGTGCTCCGGCCTATTCTTCAATTTATCTATGATTTATGCAAGGAAGCATGCATTATTTTAATGCCCTGCCGATAAAATATTTTTTCCCCCTACAGTCTTTTATTCTTTTTTTTTTTAAAAAATCTCTTTGGCACATTTCCTCCTAAAATATGCATATGTGCTTATTTGAACCTAAAATACAGCTTCATACACATTCTAGTGGCTTTCTTAATTAGCCAAAAGCAGCTTTGCAAAATTCTCAGGAGGACACCTGAATATTCACAAGGATACACAAAATCTCATCAGCCTATTTCTGTGAAAAGCAATAAACAAATCCGCTTGCTTTGAAAAATTCACTTTTAAGACGAGTTCTGTTTTCAGTCCTTTTCCCCCAATCTGTAGCATAGACACTG